CACAGGGATGCAGAGCCTGTGGTCCCAGCATCACAGCGCAGATGGGAGATGTCCCTGGACGTGAGCCAGGGGAGTGCCAGAGCAGAGGCAGGGAGGGAACAGAGGGGAGCTGCGTGCAAAAGAAGTAGATCCTCCTGGCCTCGCTGACCACCTCCCCTGCTGCAACTGCTCCTCGCCAGGGTCCACACTTCAGCCTGGCTCACAGGAAACAGGAGGAGAAGGGTGTCAGATGGACTCCAGTCTTGTCAGTGTCCACCACGGATCCACCTCTCATCCAAGGTGAGAGGCTGATTCAGAAGAGAAGTCAGTGTCCCAACACTGAAGATGTACCACAGAGGAAGGAGGGCAGAGGACATCCCGGGCCCGCCTGTGCAGCATCTACAGCTCTCCAGGCTCAGAGTGACCCAACAGCTCTCAGGACGTGCTCGGCCTGTTTCCTGCTCGGGAGCATAAGAATCCCGCAGCATCCCTGCCAGACCGCCCTCACGTGGCGCTTCCACCAAGCCAGATGAAGGAGCCGGGGCTTCTGCCACCCAGCCTCTCACACGCCTACACAATACCCAGTCCCAGAGCACAGGACTTAATGGATTACAGGCCTCCTAATTAGATTTCCTTGGAGTTCTCTCTCGGAAGAGTTTCGTACTGTGAACTGCAAACTCGCTGGCCCATGCTTGCTTGGGTGTATGTTCTTACAAGTCAAAGACCATTTCCTACGGCAGCCCCTGGCCTCTGCCTGAGAAGGGGGTGGTGTGGGAGGAGGACAGGGTCTGACCCTCTGCTCTCCTCCTGTGACCTGGACAGGTCAGATCGAGGCCTCGACAGAGACCCCAGCACCCAAGAATGGAGCACACAGTGAGCCTCCTAGGACTTAAAGAGGGTCCCCAACCCCTTCCTCTGCCTGCACCACCCACCCTGTGTTGCCACAGTATAGAGATGAGAGGAGTTGTGGTTCTAGAGCCAAAGAACCAATTCTTCTGCAAATGGCAAGTTGGACCCTGATGTCATTTATGGCAGCCCCCGCGCCACCTGCCACCTCGTTTTGTCTGGTGGAGGTAATGCACTCCTCCGAGGTGAAACTCCCAGGTGGGAGGTGACAGAAAGGCTGGTTGATGCCAGAAACAGGTAACTACAGCCTGGAGAGCCAGAGACATCCTTGAGTAGGAGTGTAGGAGTCTCGATGCCACCCCAGGCCATGGCTACTGGTCCACGGAGCTTTCACTTCAGGTGGCCTAGACTGAGGCCCCACAGATCTGACGCACACCTTCCTCCTCCATCCCGCCTGGCTCTTTCCTCCCAAATTTTATGGGCATCCTCAGTTGGAGGTGCAGCAGCCTCACTGGACAAGAAGTTGCCTCCTGAGTCTCGTTGGGCTGGAGTTCAAGCATGAGTGAACTGCTGTCAGTCCCAGCATAGATGCTGCTGCACCTCCAGAGCCTGCAGCCACAGGATAGTGATGCCACCTCCCCCCCCACAAAGCACTGTTGGTTCTTTTCCTGAGCACCAAACTCCTGTTAGCCCCAACTCTCTGGGACATAGAACTCCCCAACATGAAGGAGAACAAATGAGCCAAACTGGAAAACCCAAACCCTGGGGCGACACAGAAGACGATCAGTGGAGGCTTTTTAGCATCGAGCGAGCGGTTCGGGGATTAGCCCGGAGTCATGGTACTGGCGGGGGGTGGGGGAGAGGAAGGGTGTGTGGGGGGGGGAGCCGCCACAAAGCCACGCCTACCACCGGAGGACACAGGGTCCACCAGGCTGGATCTTGGGGAAGAGCTCACAGATTTACCTTGCCTGATCAGAGGAAGAATCAAATCCACAGAAGAATTTTTCAAAAATCAAGATTTTGTGAGAAACAATGTATTTAGATTTCTCTCCAGGGTCAGTCAGCTTTTCCACATTCTAACCTGGGAGACCTTCTAAATCCTCAAGCGCCCCAGGGAAAGAAAAGTGGTCTTCTGAGGAAGCGCCCGGCCTCTGCAAACCAGCCACACTCCAGCCCTGGACCACGCTCTGCGCACACATGACCGCCTTCGATGTCCGGAAGGCTCTGTGTTCATGTGGCCACAAATTCCGTTTTACAAATGAACAAGCTGAAGATTGGAAAGGTTAAGTCTCCCGCCAAGGTCACTCAACTGGTGAGGAGCAGAAAAACTAAGATCTGGGCCAGAACGAAAGCTCTTAAGCACTAGGCAATACCTCCTTCAGAAGATGGAAGAGAGCTGTTTCAATCTGCTTACTCTAGGGATTGACACAGCTCCAACTCCAAGGTGCAGGGTAGGGGAGCGAGGTGGGGGATGGGGGGCGAGCGTTCTCGCCTATAAGCCGGTGCTTGAATCGCTGCCCCTGCCCTGCATTAACCCATCAAGTAATCAGGATCCAGTCTGTTAATGCTCAATCTTGATATTAAAATACCTGTGACATTCAAACCCATATCCTCAGCCTGGCTCGGACTGTGCGTGTCAGCCCACCCCCACTCCCCGACACCCCCACAAATCCCGCTGCAAGCCACGCAATGTTCACCCGCTGATTGAAATAATGCAATTAGGGGATATAGAAAATCCATTCCACATGGTGCCATCTGCATTCTCTTCTGACAGCTAATTTGATTGGCGCTCTGTAATCAATAAAGCACTCACGCAGCAGCCAGATAATTCACCTCGATTTTTCCTACACTGTTTGTAGGGGAAAACACTCCCTTCTGCTTCTGCCAGTGACCCAGGCCAGGTGGGGAGCCTCCAGGAAACAAGCTCAGGAAATGGTAGAATGTACTACAGGGTGTACTGCTGGATCCCTGAGGCCGCTCCCATGGCTGGATGGGTGCTCCTCACTGGGCACAGTGGCACTCACCTCTCTGTTCCCCAGCCATCACAACTGAAGGTGGGTGGCAGATGTGGTTTCAAAGATGCTTTTATCTTTAAGAAGACATTCAACACCACACTTCATAACTCAGTGGCTTCTGACAAAAAATCTCCGTCATTCTCATCCCCAAGAATCAGCACCTCCCTAGGACTGACAGCCCACACCAGGACAGACCACAATGCAGAGACTTGTCTCTAGACCCTGCAGAAACAAAGTGGGAAGGTGGCATTTTGCCTAGCACCTCCCTACATGGGGGTCACGACCTCAGTGTCACGCACCGTGGTGCCCCCTTAAACCTCCAACAGATCTACATGATGACCAAGCAGCTCATTCATTTGAACACAAATACAGTCAATCATCCTGGTGGTTGGCCACCCAAGCCAAGGAACAAGCAGGGCTACCCTTTATAGGGCTCCGACCAGACAGCAGCTGAGGCTGGGCATATCCAGCCACCATCAGAAGTGCCAGTTCATGCCCCCAAAGCCTATGACTCATGGACACTGCTGAGCACAGTCACCAGGACCCTAGAGAAAAGTCAACACTCCCCAGAGATAAAGGACATGCTATGGAAAGAAACAACAGCTATGCGGAGAGAGTGAAATCTCACTGTTCTCAGGCAGACTTAGAGCAATAATCAAGTTGGCACGTACAGAGTCAGAGACTCCCCTATATAGGCATGTGTTACACCTGGATAGAGAGAGGCCCTCAGCCCTCAGAGGGACGACTCTAATGAGAAGATAACTGGAGAGGAAATCACAGGGGCAAACTCAGAGGAACAGCACCAGCAGCTACTGCAGATTAAACTGGTTTCTCATGTGGGGATGGAGGGACTGCAGGAGGGATTGGCTCTCACTCTCACCCTATAAATCAGAGGCTGGCCCTCAGGAGTTCCGCAGTGTCCCTGGGGATCCGGGGGCACACCAGAGCAGAGGGCAGGGTGCCAGGCCGCACCTGCCTAAAGGACAAACCTGTCAGGGAGATTTAACACCTGCACCCTGGAAACCCATCCCTGGTTCTTTCAGATTCTCTGAGATGAGCACAGAAAATAACTGAATATTCCTTTTATTTAATGGGAAAACAAGAGCCTAGTAAAGAAATCATTTCTCCCAAAAAGAATACCAGGGTGGGGGAAAAAAACCGTCCTGCATACCAGAGGCAAAGCAAAAAAAAAAAAAAAACAAAAAACAAACAAACCCAAGCTCAGCTCAGACTCAGGGAGCTCTGGGCTGTCCAAGATGGAAATGACTGAGAAACTACGAGTCCAAGCCCACTTTTTTCATAGGTGAGCTGGCTGAGGCACAGGGAAGGTTCAGTGGCATTGATGGACCTGCAACCTAGAAAACTGGAGAACACCTCTCTAGAAAAACCAGAAGGCTTAGAAGACCCAAACCCTCTCTGGCTGGGAACTCTCTAGCCTGCAGTATGGATACCAGTGGCCTGGCATCCTGCCTATAAATTCACAGGCTTTGGAGTCACAGGCCCGAGTTCAAATGAAGGCTCTACCTCTAATTGTCCTTGAGATCTTGTGCAAGTCACTTCACTTTCTGTGCTTTGGTTTCCTCCGTGTGGAAAAGAACTGGTGATAATGCACGATCACAATCTTGGGATTAATGTAATTTCCATGAAGTGCTTTGCATATTGGATTCTTTTACATCAAACAGTAAATCCCACCCCTGCCCCCACAAAAAACAGGGGCTGTTTTTATAATTATCTGTAAACAGATACTAGCAAGCAAGGACATCAGTGAGCTCAAGTCATATCCTTAGTGACACTGCAGTGAACATTTATTATCTGCCTTCTGGACTCTATGCCTCCATCAACAGCACCTCATTTCCATTTGCTCCCCACAAAGCTGACTGTGTATCCCAAGGGGAAAGCTTGTGAGCTGCTTCAGAGGTTGGTTCAGGAGTGGTTACAGAAGCCAATTTAGGGTTATCGATGAAACTCAGGACTTGCTGGGAGAGTTGAGGCAAAGATGTTTTCCATTCCCTGCTGGACCCAATGGAGGAAGCCAGCAGCCCTGGAAACTGCTGGCAACCAGTTTGGGTCCATCAAAGAAATCAGCCTAAAGGTAAGTGAAAGAAACTGCATCATCAGTGACATGACCGTGTTCCAGGATCAACCCTTAACTGAACTTACATCTGGACTTCTGTTAATAGCAGATTTCCTTCACAGTTTAAGCCAGTTTGATTTTCTTTTCTTCCTTTCTCTTCTTCTCTCTTCATAGTCACTTGCACAAAGATTTGCAATCATTACAATGCTCTTAAATGTCAGTGCCCCATCTTGCCCTCTTCAAGGTTGGAACTTTTCCAAGCACAGCTGGAACTACTGGCTTCTTAAGAACAAACAGCATGGGGTCCCCTGCTTCCTCTAAGACCCCTGTCAGGACCATGATTCTGTGGTATCTAGTCCTGTGTCAGGGACATGCCCTGCTCCTGCTGGGTGACAAGTGTCTCACGTAATCGAGGCTTTGATCTTCTGAAGCCCACGGTCCCCGCTGTGCTGCAAGGTGCCTTAGACAAGGCTGTCACCAGGCGCTGAGACATCCCTTTGTAGGTCCTGCCTGGCACAGAGCGTGTGGGCGATGACATCGAGGCAGGTGTAGCTACCACTGCACCACTGCACTAGGCTCTTTGCTCCAACAGAAATCAAAGCCCCAGCTCTTCACTCTTCTTCCCTGGAAGCCCACATCACACTGTCAGGGACAAAAATGAATATGATCAGCTCTACAAATTGTCCCTGTCTGTTCTCCCTCTCTGCTGTTTGGGCTGGGAGCAAACATGCCAGCAGGCATGGGTGTGACCAACGCTCCCTGCCTGATCATTGACGTCTCAGTGGATGTGGGAACTCTGAACAATTCCCCCAGAGGATTTTAAAGATTCCACTTGGGTTTCCATGGTAATTTTACAGAGCCAGCACTCAAGAAGTGTTTGTTAAATTGAATTTATTGAAGAGTAAAGTGAATCGGATATTCCCATAACTGGACCACATCACCATAGAAAAGTCCCTGGCCCATCAGAGGGATGAGTTGCAAGTCTGCGACAGAAAATATTACCAGCAAGGTTCTTTGTAATCTGGAAAGAGAACTCAGCTCTGGTCTCCTTACCCACCTGAACTAGGAAGATGGCATTCTTTAAAAAGTCAGGGGAGGGGAACTTCCCTGGTGGTATAGCAGCTGAGCGCTGGGCTGCAAAGCTCCCCGTAGCCTCTGCAGCACTGGTTCCATCCCTGGCCACTGGCAAGGGTCCCACATGGCACACAGACCTCTCCTGCTGCCTGCTGCTCCCCTTAGCAGTGTACTTCATCAGTCTGCCTGCTCTGCTCTCCCCTCTGGCTCTGGTGAATTCTCTTGCCCGCCCGCACTTCTGACTGTACCCAGTGCTTATATAAATAAATAAATAAATAAATCTTTAAAAAAAAAAAAAAGTCAGGGGAGGACCTCCCTGGTGGCACAAGGGGTTAAGCTTCAGCACTATGAAGAGCTGTCTGCAGCCTCTGCAGCACGAGTTTGATCCCTGATCAGGAAGATACCCACATGGCACACAGACCTCTCCTGCTGCCTGCTGCTCCCCTCAGCAGTGTATTTCAGTCAGTCTGCCTGTTCTGTTCCCCACTCTGTCTCCTGTGAATCCTCTCACCCCCCCACGCCTCTGACCTGTATCCCAGTTCTCATATGCATAAATAAATAAATCTTTAAAAAATAATAATAGTAAGTTAAATTTAAAAAAAGAAGTCAGGGTAACCTCGGTAAGAAACAAAAGCTCAATTTCAAATAGACACTCCTGACCCACCCCACCATGACCAAAATGATTTGCAAGCGAGGGTGCCTGCTCCTCAGCACAGGCACTGTCCTTTCATTGGAAATACCCTGAGGGCCCTTTGTGGATCCAGTTTCCCTTCCAATGGATGATCCCCAAGCTTTGGCTTTATTGGAAAATGTTTTAGACCCAGATTAGAATTTAATAGGTAAAATTGCTGATAAGAGTAAAAAGTGAAAAGCCACCAACCCCAAGGAGGAATCAATAGCTCACAAGTCAGTAAGAACAGAAGGCAGGTCATGGAGGCTGGGGGTGCAGGGGCAAGCAAATTTTTTTAATTCATGTGTAGCATATGTATAGAGTTAGCTTTCTTAAGCAGAGACCTGCATAAACACAGATGCCACCTTTTCCAAGAAGGCCAAGCCCGTGATGGCTGGGCTACACAGCAAATTAGTCACGTCCTTGGAATGCGGGAATTAAACACCACATACAAGGCACCCTGCTCTTTGACCCTCTCAGGCTCATCAGAGGCATCCACAAAAACTTTGCACTGGGTCAAAGCCGCCTGGCAGATCTGTCCACAAGTCAACTCCCATTTCATTTGCTAAAACTGCAACTTGTCAGCTTTGTTAAAACCACGAACTGTCATTTTGTCAATAGGGACAGCCCATTCTAAGGGCAGATCAATTCCAGAACAAAGTTTTGAGTGACAGCATTACCCCTGGAGGGGTTCCAGGAGTGTTTGCTTTGCATCCCCCTCACGTTAATGACAAACAAGTTCCCCATGATGGATACACCTGCAATTAATATTGAAGGGACAGTTAATGATTTCAAGGAACCGCTATACAGGCCTCATATTTCAAATTTAAAATGCTCCTTCCAAAGCAGGATTATTTTTCAAAGCCTAGAAATGAATGTTAATATATTAGGCAAAACAAGTTTTTTAACATCTCAAAAAATAAAGCCAAGAAAACTTATATTAAGGACTCCACTCAGTTGAGACAACCCCATTATCCTTCAAACACTCACAATGAAGCTTTGTTCTAGAGACCTGTCTTGTCACTCCTTGTTTCAAAGGATGGGATATCTACAAATCAGAGTCTGATAGCTACAAATCAGACTCACAAGTACATGAGATATATATATGAAATTCTGAAGAACACATCAGGTAGTATGAGTGTGCTTCTTGTTCTCTCTCTTCTTTAGTGCACTAGAGATTATAAACGAGAGTTTGTAAATCTACATGTCTCCATCCTTATTTCAGATACACATATGCAGAGAACTATTCATATATTTCTTCTGAAAGAAAATTAGATACTTACAAAGCAAAAAAAAAAAAAATTTAATAGCTGAATCATAAAATCACTTTGGCTCCTGAATCGGGGAAAATTGCTTTCCAAATATAGTGACATCTCTCCCCTAGGCAGGAAAAAAATAATTTCTGGCCCCAAAAGCCAGACAAACCACTAGCAGTGACCAAATGAAACACCAATTCCAAGCTAAATGAACAAGAACAAATGCTGAAGGAAAATTGGTAATGCGAAAAGACATTGCCAGCAGGCAAAGAACTGTGTTCTGTTTTAACTAAGGGGGGGAAAGAGACACTGAACAGACATTTAGGTAATAAAGTGACACAATTAGTCACTAAATATAACAAAGGCAGATTATTGCCAACCTCTAAACTGCCTGGTCCAGCTCTGAGAGTGTGGAAATGAAAGAGGCCTCTGCCCCAGGCTTCCTAAAGGGCTTGGAAGAAATATTCCAATACCTCCTCCTGGCCACCAGGGGCGCTGTGAAGATAGATGAGAAGCTCACCTTGGGCTATAGAGCGCCCAGCTGAGAAGCCATGGCTGCACCCTGGCATGCTATCCATGCTATCCCTTCCTGTTGTTTATAGTGCCTAATACAGGCCTTCTCCCTCAGATCTCCTTTGGGGTCTGGGACATCTGGCCATCTGTGGCGTGGGAGCAGAGAAAGCAGGGCCGAGAACTCTGGCCACCCCCACCATTCTATGAAGAAATAAATTTCCCCTTCCCAACTTTCTCTAGCTGGCTTTGGCAGGCCCATGGATGCTAAAGGACTACCCCAGAGAGCCCAAGCCCAATGTTTCTAGCAGAACTGTGGCACTCAGTAATTTAGTGGCCCTTTGGAGCAATGCTGATCAATCCTGATTGCAAATCCCACAACACAAAGCAACCACTGCTAGTAACAACCCTGTGTGTGTGCAGAGACCTCTGGTTCTCCCAGATTTATGCTTACAATAAATTGCCTCTACCGCCCAACCTGGCCAGATATATGAGCCCAACATGAGACTCCAGTTCTATTATCACCAATTAAATAAACAGGTTAAGGGAGAATGTAAACTAAGATAGATTATGTAATCAGGCTCTAATAAGATCTAGTGATGAGAGAATGAATCTGGGTTAATTTTCTTTTTGTTTTTATTAGCCCCTAAAGAGCAGCTAGGAAACTTCCTTGTGTCCTTGACACCCCCTCTTCCTGGCCTCAGACCTTCCCTGCAGGGGATGTCAGGGAAAATGGCTTTAGACAGGTTTATTTGGAGAGAACGGGGGGGGGGGGGGGGGGGGGGGGGGGAGGGGGCCCCTGAGGGCAGTTAAAATAGCTGAGGTATTTATTTTTGTACCCCTAAACCCTGCCTTCAACCAACTGCTCCCTGCCCCAGTGGAGCCTCTGAGAGGAATTTATGCATAGAAGGCAAACAAAACTTTCTAAATTGCTAACTAGGGATTTTCATCCCCTCCCCATGAGCCGTTCAGGCAGGTGAGCTGACTGGCTAGCTGGAGAGGGCCTTTGTTCTGTGTCGAAGGCAGCCAAGTCAGCCAGAAGAGTTCTTAGATACAGACAAGGCCAGCATCATGACCCAGCAGGCCTTCTGAAGGTGGGGCAGAGGCCACAGGCCCTGCTGGCTCAGCTGAGTGGGGCAAAAGCAGGAGAAAGGGAGAGATGAGAGATTTTCAAGAGCAACTCTCTCGCCATTAGGGCTGGAGATGTACCTCAGGGCCACAGCTGAGAGCAGAGGCAGGAGACTTTGGGAACAGAGCCACAGGCCTTTTAAGGACCAGACTTCTCTAGGACCTGGCCTTAGGGCAGGAGATGGGGGGCAGGAGAGAGACATCAGAGGTGGAAGAAGCTCTCGAGAAGGGGAGTGGTTACAGGCAGAGAATGGGTCAGAGGAGCTGATCTTCTCACTCGGCCATCCTTGGTGGAGCTCAGACCCCTACGGGACACAATGGCACATAAACCTCAGAGAAGCTGCACTGAACCGATGGAGTGGTCACTGTTCAGGTGGGTGACAAAAGAGAAGTCAGTGTGTGTGGATGAAGGGCAGTTTCCTTGGAGGGATTCACAGGTGTGGACTTCTGAGTGAGCAGGCCCTGCTATGAGACCTGCCCAGGGCTCCTAGCCCTTGCTACTGCCTGGTCTCTGGTATGGATCAGAAATGAGGCCCCTGGACAGACATAGCCCCAAGGGCACTCTGGTGTCCCAGGACAGACTGGATTTCTGCCCTGACCTGCTCCCTCTGCTGGGCGCCTCTGAGCAATGCACCACCCGTTGGCCTGAAGTGGGTAAATGGCTTTAGACAGGTTTATTTGGAGAGAAATAGGTTGGGGGGAGGGGGACCTCAGGGCAGTTAAAATAGCTGAGGTATTTACTTTTGAACCCCTAAACCCTGCCTTCAACCAGCTGCTCCCTGCTCCATGTCCAGCTGCTAAGGCAGCAACAGTCAGGGCTGAAGGCAAAGGATATGCGCACGCCCACATGAGGCTAACGCTGTGTGTTCTCATTTCGCCCCTTCCAAAGTGTCCTACTACCAGCCTTCCGTGGAGGGGATAAAGATGGGACTACTGGTTCATTCAACTGATGTAGGGCAGAGCTGGGATTTGGCCAGGCTGGGGTGTCTGACCACGCAGTCTTC